TTCGAATCCACGATCTTTTGCGCTTACGCAATGCTAGGCAACATGTTTACGGCAATTTTATTTGAGGTACAGCGGCGGTAACTTTGTTTATCCAACTACCTATTATTATGGTCACGTGGAATAATTCTACTACAAAAATTACAATTAATATGATGTTTTTCTTCATATAACTCTTGCATGAAGCAGTTTCTTTCCGTATATAAGCGCTAATGACTGGCTACAAACAGATATAGCCTAATGTTATGTAGGTACGTTGTGTGTGTGTCTATTTATCGTTACTTTATTATCAAGTTACAAACAGTCGATTAAAGACGGCCAAGTTTATTTATTCAAAGAGTTTTATAACTATCATCCGGCCCGCTCCGACATTTCGTTCCACGCACTTGATTGATTGATTATCCCCGCGTTGATCGGAAACTAATAAAACCGAAATGAAAAATATTCTCTAAATTCACTGCGCTGTTTATTATTGCACGGTTGGACGTTTCCTTGTGTTTTATGTTACATACATCTCGCACCTAACTACATTTATTATGTATTTATCAGGCGGGTTTAGAAGTAATTAATTCGTGGACTCAGTGGCACCTGACATCTAAGATTTTTTATTTACATTTAAGATTAAGATCAAAATCAGAATTAAATACCCAATTTAAATAAAACACTTTCAACGGTTTAAGACGTGATTTATGTTAGTAAATTTATTTTTAATTCAATCTGAACATGACTAGACATTTCAGATCTGCAAAGTATCCGAATTGTTTTACTTAAAACTGTACTACTCGCTACTTACTACTTACTATATTATTAAGAAAGTTTTGAGTATTTATAAAGGATTTCGAACCCACAACGCCGTTTGCAACGCAATACGCTAACGACTGAATGACAGAGACGATCAAAACAAAGGGACGCTAAATATCTCTCATTAGTCCGTCCATTGTGAATATTAAATTAAAAATTGTCGGCGCGTCAAAGTTTTTCTATTAAGTCGGCATCGCCATTTGACGGCGCATTCATAACGCAGTGACTTTGATGAATTAACGCTAGATCTTTCATTCATGAGCCTTTATGGGGCTTTGTCGCAGTGAGAGCGGGTTTATGCCCGTGGAGAGTTATTCTGTTAGGATGTGAACTTGGCTTTATTAATGACTCCCAAGACCATGGCTGCTGCAAAGCATCCGAAAAATCAGATCGTATTTAAAATTAATAAAAAATAAGTTTAAATAATTAACCTTGCGTTTCAAACCGTTAAAAAAGTTTTATTTAAAAATAAACAATTTTTGAAGATCACTGTTCCAATGATATGCTAACTATTCTTATCACCATATTCGTTTATTCTGTTTTTTATCGCAAAAATTTACAACAACGTTTAGAGGCAAAGACTGCCCAGTTGGCATGTTTATGTTCGCAGAATACCCGTTCAACAATCGTAAGCCATTTATTCCTTCCACCCCTTTACGGTTCAAAGAAAAACAATAAAGGAAAACCTTTTAACACAACTGACCCTGAACTATAATAATTTTGTTTAAACAGTTAATGATAGCGCTATAAAAAGTGTTTATTTTTACCATAACTCCACTCCCATTCATATAAATTAGCCGACGTGCATCGCGAACTGTTCCCTAAGCCCGGGTAATAAGTGGTAATTTTCTGTGAAGTATATCGTTTATAACTCGTTACTTATGCAGAGCAGTGTACATTTTATATGTTTGTAACCCGATAGCAAGGGAACAGTAGTAATTAAACTTTTTATTGAACATGTGGGTTTTTATTTATCCATAAATTTAAATAATCTGTTGTTTGAACGCAGTAAACACCGGGATTGGCTCGTATTTTAAGGGGAAAATGATTTCTTTCTCCAAGAAGACATTCCTTGACAGCGTATTTATGTTGTCGCCAAATTAAAGCTCTATTTATATTTAAATTTTATTTTAGATTTATGAAGAAACTTATGTCATTATAATAATGACTTTCGATATATATTCAAGTACAATAACTTATTATTCTTGGGTGATTATAATATAAATATAATTTACTTATATAGTATCTATTTTAGTATTACAGGATTCCAATGGTCTTTAATAAGCGTCTTGAACTATTAAAATAAGTTTGTTTTTAATTTAACTTTTTACAGAAATGAATATTAATAAGTAAATATTTAAAACTGACATTAATATTAATATTCTTGCCGCGGAGCCATCAACTCTATTAATGTTAAACATTTTTTTTATATTTTCCGTTCATCCGTTAAGCTAAACATAGTAGAAAAAGATAGGGTATCCCTTACCTTTGTTCTATTGATATTTATCTAGTAAAATGGCATAAAGAAGATATTTTTTCGAAACATGGATAGCTGGTTTTAAAATAGATTGTAGATATATTTTTATATAACGTTAAATAAAAAAATAAAAGCAATTGTAAAAAAATAATTTATATAGAATCCCTTAAAACAGCTACCTGACGTTGTTATAGGATAAAATAAACAGGCACTGAATATTTACGAGGGTAATACGAAACGAATAAACGTACATACGTGTAAATACATTCCGAACAATAAAGGCGCATTTAATACAATTACTGCGAAGATTTAGTGCTGTTTATTTGAGACGGCGAACGTTTGACCCCGTATCGTGTTCGCCGGCTTAAGTTACCAACGGAAGCGGTGAGTTACCTCATATTTACAATTTAACGTTTTTTTTATATTAGTATATTATAACTAACACAATTCGCGTCTTAAACCGTTAAGTGTTTTAATTGAACGTGCACTATTCACGTTAACTACAGGCAGTATTTAGTATTTCCATTTTTGACGTCGGTTTGTGACCCGGGCAGAATTGTGAAATGTTTGGAAATATAACCGTTAAGTTTATTTGATTAATAATTTTCTTTTTGCATGATCCCGGTAATGCCCACTAAAAATGTTGTACATTCGCTGTTGCGTGTGACTTGCGCCAAGTGAAAATCGGCAGCCATAATCGTACATCAGTGTTATTTGTGAGAGTGATTCGCTAAGCGCTGGAGTGACTACTGAGCGGCTAAGTGTAATGTCACACTACGTCTTGACTCTCCAACGTCTTTATTACTTTGTGTACATCGAGAACGTAGACAACTGAATTCTCATGTCAATTCAGAGAGGAATAATCTAAAGAATAGAGAGATCATATTAGATGAATCGGATACAAACACTCGTTCCTTTCAATTCTTTAGATATGCTTAATTATTCAATCAGAGTTCAGAACGTGCGGTACTTACTTACATAGATAGTAAAAACTTCAGCTTCAGTGGCAAAGTGCACTTTCTATAATGCGTAAGAAATATTAAGCTCGTTAAGGACCGAGTCTCGAGAAGAGACCAATTCTAAACATCAGCTAATAATCAAGTTGTCACTTCTAACTACATTTCTTTCACTAAATCTTACTCTAAATCATTATTATAGGATGTACAATATTGCTTTGTCTTATCCGACACCCATTTGTCGACCCATTCATTTATTATTACCTTCAATATTATGAATCTAAGTCAATTGTAATTATGGGCAACCTTTTTTAATCTCTCTCAACTCTGTACACACCGGGATCTTCGTTCGATCGATGCGCTGTAAAAAAGCAATTAGAAATAATCCTTTGATCGCATTTGTCAAGCGTCGGGTCCGCAGAGCGCGTTGAAAGCGCGCGACCGCGACACGTTTACGACATCGACGACAAAATTATCGTCGCGTTATCGTCCGACGAGTGAAATATCGCGCGGCTGTCTTGATTAACTTATTGCTGCGACGAAGGAGAGGGATAGACTTTCGAATGGATCAAATTAAAAATGAGTGAAAGTCCTGCTGCCCCACTCGGGGCACGGGCTAGACTTGGCATCAAAAAAAGCAATAAAACATTCACTTCAGTTGTTAGTTTTACATCACTTTAGCGTAGTTTGCGTTTTTTTATAAGCTTGAATACCAAAAATAAAAAAGGTTTTGCCAACTCGCTGTTTTGAATTAAGAACTCTTTTTGAGTTAAACGAGAAATACCTACAGGACCGACTTTTTTATGGCGACTGTTAATTTTTTTGTAACGATTTACATATTATCCAGACGTGGACAGCTAAGACGATTCTGTGTACGGTCGGGTACAAAGGCGTGACAATGGCATCGGAGGTGGCTCACGGCGTGTCTATTGGCACGCTTCCGTTGCCGACACACGTCACTTGTTACTGCAACTTAACAAGCCAGCGATATAAGGCTAACTCTCTATGGAGAATCACTTTTATCGTTCACTAAACTAAGGCGGGCCATGACAAGTCGTGGGTTCAATCCCAACCGGGTTCAAAATGTTCAAAATACATAGGTACACATAATTGCAACACTGATCTATAACTTTATTGAGCAGGAAAAAACTTCAACAGCATGCAAATACTACAAAAGTTTATAGCTAATAAAACAGAGAAAACAAATAAATAAATAACGCTACTTACGCGGAAACGCGTGTAAACGTGTACAAGACAATATATCGTCATAAAATATTATGTTCTTTGTCAATTACATTGTTTATTTGTCATAAATTAGCTGTGAATGACATATATGGCGTGAACCATAGACAGCGGGAGCCAGAATACAATAAATTCTTTAAGATATAAATTCAATTACTCATAATTAGAGCGTTAATTTTGTCGCAAAGATCTATTAACAATTACGCATAGAATAATTTTAAGTAATACTATATAAAGCGAAATAAAAGTTAAATAAAAAAGCCTTAAAACGGTTCAAAACGTGGACGTATAATAAAGTGAGTTATATTATTTATAGTCTAAGCTACGCTCCTATTTGTGTTTTCTCAATTTTTTAAAGTATAGTGGCGGTTAGCCCATGATATAATGTGTATCGACTAAAATGAGCTACTGTTTTCTGTCTGTTTTAAAAACTAAACGGGTAAAAACTAGTAAATCCAGCTTTATTGAAATACAATTGTCAAGAATTACGACCCTTAATTTAGAAAATTACGACCGTTAACTTTAAATCAGTAGACTCTACGTAGCAGGTACGCAAGATAAATATATTTCGCTTTTGAAAGCCATTTCCACGTATCGCAGCAGCAGCTCAGCTTGTTACGAAGGTGCCTGGAGTTTGCATTCGATCCTTGCTTCCGCCCACCACCCTGTCTTCGGAATAATAGCAGTGATTGCTTGCACGACAGCTGTTTGTGAGCTTTTGACCGAGACGCCATTGTGAACGTCACGACTCAACGTTCATTCTATGTATCATAATATCTACTGATGGGCTCATACAAAAGTTTCGAGTAAAAAACTCGAATTAACTTCATATACACTAAATTTAAAATACTGACGTATTTTACGCGACCAAGACGAGGATTCTCTAATGTCAAAGCAAAAACTGCTATGCTAGGCCATGTTACATAAATGTGTCCGTTTTTCGGTGGGCTTGTTATTTTTGAGGCCCGATCCGACAGTGGAACAATGGAGATCTCAAACACAAACAGCATATTTGCCAAGCTGTACCAACGAGCAGCTCGGTAATTGGCGACTCGAGCATCGTCAACATTGTTAGCCTGTGTTTGCGCAGTCACTATTGATGGATCCCGTAACCCGTTTGAGACATCTTGCGAGGAAAGGAATTGGGTGCTGTTTGTGCAGCCGGATTTCGGAGACGCGGGCTAAGGGGCGCGACGCGTTTACTATTCGTAATAAGACTTCTTTGTTTACACTTTGTATATAGAGCCACATAAAATTAAAATTTTACTAAAATCTTGTTTGCGATACACGAATTTAACATTAATTCGCAAATACGACAATTCTCTCTGGCTAATGCCAAAACAAAGCGTTTGGTTCATATATGAATGGTGTAATCCTTCCATCAAGTATGCCATAAGAAAAAATCTCCAAATTCGAATGTATTTTTAAAGGAAACCTAATTTAGAGAACTTAAATCGCATTAAACTATAATAATTATATTTAGTGCAACACGGTGCTTCGTGTGCAACGCCTGCTGATCCACGGACGTTATGCACAGAGCTGTAAAATACCATTTGTCTGCAATAATGAATATATTTTAATTTCCCGCACCACGAGTGTAACTGAAAAGGGCTTTGACTTATTCGATAACTCATTTGAAACGAAAATGCGCGGAAGCTAAACTACTCCATGCATTTCAATTTGTTGGAAACATTTTAATATTCTCCAGAGATCTTTGCACAAAAACACATTGAATACAATTTTACTGACTGACTAACCGACTACTGTGTGTCGTGAACGTCTAACAGTTAGCGTTTAAGCTGAGTCTCAACGGTCGGCCATGAAGCTTTTCTTTGAGTAGACTAAAAATATTACAGAACCTATGTAAAGCAGGATATTAATTGAAATATTCCTGTAAGTTTTATTTAGCTATTTGTTAATAGAAAATCATATGATATTCAACTTTTAATAAGTAGGAATCATGAAACAATATTTCCCTACTTTTCTTTTATAATCAACCGGTTCCAACGCGCTCGCTGAGTAATTGGCAATAGTAGGTATATGTAGTGGTCTTTGCCTCTTTGCTTGTTTCGCACGTTTGTCTATGTTATAGCGTCGGAACCGCCCGCGTGGAACCCGCCTTAGACATTCATGCACAATTTACTCCGCGTCGCTCGAGACGGCGCGCCATTCCGTCAGATTTACAACACGACTGACATTTTAACGATAATACGTATTTACGACTATTTATGTGTATTTACGCGTTACGACCGGCGTAAAAGCACGCCCGTTTAATTGTGAAATAAAATTGAATTTACGCGTACGTTTAAAACGAAATAGCCCGTGCTGATTTTGACTGCCGTCGTTTCATTGTGATTCACTGTCTCTTATCGGACTATTCCACTTCGGAGTCCGCCCGCCAAATGACAGAGGGCCCGCCGAACAATACTACACATGTTTCTCTTTTTCGTACAATCTTAATCGGACAATTTTATTACGGTTATTAACGTAAACTACTGGCTCGTAAGCAATATTAGTGAGTACCTAAAAAGTCTATTTAGCAGTGAGTCCGGCGAACATAAAACTCACTGCCTCATAAATCGTTAACAATAACTGCCGGCCTAATTCGAGATACGGCTTTATGGCTAAGTGCGTTTTATCACCGTTCGTGTTTAGGGCTCAATAATAAGCGAGGTTTATTGGGAATTTCAGTAAGACTACTGTTGAATGCTTACAAAATTTTTAATAATGCCGGGTCGAATGAATCTGATAAACGACCGTAGAGAAACAATACCAAGGAGAGAAAAATAGTAAGCTTTAAGAGATATGGTTTTTTTATGAAAGAGGGCAGATAAGCTGGGATTCTTTGGATGGTATGTGAAATATCCCAACCATAATAAGATACTAGACCATACCTAACTAGATGCACTGGCTAAATTTGGATATTCGGAATCCACCCATTTCATATCTAAATTTACACGCAGTCATATATTTAGAAAAATTAAAAGTCTGCTGCGGCTGCACTTTTAAGTGATATTGATACACAGATAATGATTTCAATTAACTGAAGCCACGACGAGGACAGGAACCGTGCCGTGGTGGAATGGTTGGAGTGAGACAAGTCGTTCCTAGTACACTTAACGCCAGCCGCAGTCAAGTCACGTTGGCCAGCGATTATCATATAAACAGCCGCATTACTGTACCGGGAATATTTATAAATGCTAAACGCACCTTAAATGGGAATGCTTGCAATACATTTCGATGTAATGGATTGATGGACGTGGGCTTCGGAGGTGGTATTCGCTTAATGGACGTTCCTGGGAGCAGGACGTCGGCGGAGGATGAGAAAGTCTGAGGCTTTGCCATTATTGTTATAATTAATTGCGTTTTTAATAGAGATGCTGTTATACTATTTACGAAATAATTTCGTGAATAGTAAAATTCGTGGTTTCTGAAGCTAGAACAATGAAACTTTCTTCTTTGGCTTTTTGGGAATAGGAGTGGGAGTGGGAGTGAGAGTGAGTGTAAGAATGGGAGTGGGAGTTAGAGTAGGAGTGATGTCAGGTGAGAGTGTTGCGGCAAAGTAGCACTTATAAGTTACAACATAAATTGGCAGCCTAAAATGCGCCCTTACATAAATTAATAAACAACTTAAATAATTAAAAATTCTACCACAAGTCACTATTCCACGCGGACGAAGTCGTGCGCGCACAGCTAGTTTCTAATAAATACAGCACAAAATAAAACAGATTACCACATCCAAATAATTTTGCTCCAGGGCAATTAAGCAGTATGGATGACAGGAAAGGGTAACCGTAAGTATTTTAATTGATATATCCCAGCAATTCCACTATTCAGATTACAAAACGTGAAATCCCAAAAATGTATATTAAAGTACATTTTTCGGTACAGCATTATCCGAATGTTCCTGTACGTAAAGTTACAAAGACCGTGGGAAATGTTCAAATGGAAATCGTAGGGTAAGATTTCAGAGTGAATCTATGCTGATATTATAAAGTTTATGAATTTATTTATTTGTTTGTTTGGACGCACTAATCTCAGGAACAACTGGTTTGCGTCACGACGAGCATCGGATATGAGGAAAAAAACGGGAAAAATAATAAATCTTTGTGCTGCGAAAACAGTTCATGATAACCACAAAATTTGTTCCCGACAGTATGTTTTTTTTTAAGATTAATCCACCAGAAGCATTTTGTAAAATTGAAATATTACATATGCATATGAGAAATTACCTATTTAGATATAGGATTATGAACCCAAAGAATAGTATATTTTTGGAAGCGTAACAATAATTATTAAGGTCGCGTCACGTTCATGTCATACAAGTTAAATAATATGCATATGTTTTTTTCTATGTGTAATATGTATAATTGGCTAAATTTCTCCAGACTTCAGACAGTTCAAACCGACGTACGTTCGCTTATTATGCTTACAACGCAACCGAGTGCTGGAACAATTTGCCGCCACCAATAAAATTATCTAAAAGTTTCAAAATTAAACTTAAAGAACCTTTAGGAAGTGAATTCGAAAAAAAAAATTCTAGCCTTGTTTGAGTTTTAGGAAAGAAAAGCAAGCAAGAAAAACAGTATGTTAATTTTTTTTCTTTTTAATTTTATGTATAATTTTAATTTATTTGTGTTCAAAATAAAATAATGTGTCACGTTAGATGTACATGTGTTTGACGTAGAGTAGCTCGTTAGCGCATGATGAATGTTATTTTATTTAACAGTAAATTTTAAACTGTCTCCAGAAGCGGTGGCGCCAGGGGCCATACCAATGAAAATCAGCGTTGCGTTGTATTCGTAACATTATGCTGAGCTGCTCCTGTTTTAGGAGTTGCATAGACATTTATTTTATTTTTTTGTTAAGCTTTCTATATTTTGTATTAAGTTAATATTAGTTCATAGATTTTATTTTTGTAAGCAACTTTTGAAATAAATGATTTTATTATTATTATTATTATTCTCAACCAGAAGCTTATTTCTCATATCTTAAATGTAGATTTCTTATCTTTACAACATTTGAAACACTTCGATCGCTACAAAAGAAAAATTAATGGCGCGTCGTAAAAATCTTCTTTTATATCGTACAATAAAATGACGTCAACTTTTGTGGTGTTCTTTGGATATTATCCATTATTTCATAAATTTAATTACTAGTGATTTTAAAAGAACTTAAAAAGAGCTTTTAACTAAATCGCAGCGTTAATTTATACTTAGTTGAAGCAATGGAAAGAACCAAGTTTCGCTTTATCCTATTTATCTTGCATATGCAGTATATTTAAATATTTCAGATATTTGTATGTCTTACAATCGAAATCATGTACAACAGACTCGTAAAATGTTATTTGTTTCCGAATCAAAGACTAATACGGGCACTAAACATCGTATTTTTGTGTTAGCGTAAAAGGCCAAAGATTATTTTTATAGAGCCACCAAAAAGTTAAGGGCCGGATTGGACGGCGATCGAATCTTATTCGGCGGGCATTTGAGCCCAAGTTTACGAGCTGCCGAGCCGATAATCTGATTGTATTTCTGTTTATTGTCGACGTAATGTGTCGGGGCTTGTCATGGCTGCAGTTTTAGCTCCGTATATTACGGTGTCATTTACATTTTGTCGGAGGAAATTTATAAGCAACCGCGCGAACGGCCGGTGATAAAATTTAGTAAAACAAAATGAGTTTCTCGGAATCGGGTTTATCTTTTACGACTCGTATGTTCTCAAATTCAAAACACCTTTCGAAATAGATATTTACAAATGATCTGATATCGACACACTACGGGCTGAAAAAAGTTATAATAGGTTATAGTATTTGCAGGAATTATAAATCTTGAATTTTTAGCAATAAACGAATATCTTAACGATTATATTTATAACTTTAAAACACTTATATTAAATAAATTAATCAAGCTTTTATCGGTATATTTTAGCATCCCTAAAAAATGGTCGAAATATTATGGTATCTTTTATGAGTTCCCTATCTTAATATGTGTATATTTCTAGAATATATCTAACCATTAATATCGCGTAACACAAGATGTTCAACATAATAACCATAAACACTACATTTTCCTATGAATATTATATCTATTTCTCATTCAATAAAGTCCCATAAAGAACTAAAAATTATAATCTTATCGAGAGCGTAATACAAGATGCCACAACAAAACTACACACTATACATTTATGTCACAGAATTAAAATGGCGTCGAGTAGATGACGACGGTCGAGCACGTTATAATTATCATTTAAATTGTGCTCACCGCGTTGCAAGATGACAGTTGACAAATGTAATGGCGATAGAGGGGCCGCTGACAGCACATCGAGAATTTTTATGTGCTCATATCCAATGTTTTATATGGCCGTGTCAACTCCCCTTTACGACTCTTACCAATTTATCCATTTTTCAAAAAAAATAGAATTAAACTCTAACTCAAAGTGATAAGATTCTTTTAGCCTCACCACTGCATATTTACATGTATCAGTATTTTGGTACCTCGGTGCAGGAAAACAAGCACGTCGTATCTTATTGCTTTTAATCTTTGAACCTTTTCTGTCAGGTTTTAAGGGTGTAATTTGCTTAACGTTTTGGGTATGGAGCGTAGATGGAAAGGTGCAAGCCAGTAGCAGTCGATGTTATGCTCGTAAAAACGGGACTTACTTCTAATTGCGTATAGATGGCGCTCCATTTAATTCACACTTGATTGTTCCGTTTTATGTCTGTATGTTTGTATGATTTTTTGTCAATTTCATTCATGTTTAAAAGTGTTAAAACTTAAACGGTGCATTTACAGTAAAACCCCTAAGTCTCTATTGCATCAATAAGAGCACACTTCGTTTACATAACTATATACAATAATATAACGAATACTGGATAGTATTGTACACAAAATACGTTATGAAAAGAAGGTTCCTATTTGGTCAATTTATTTCGAGCGAGGTTTGGCTTTTTTTTAATTACTGCCGTTTAGAGAGTGACGATTTTTCATTTGATCGTATCAATTTACCCAAAGTTCAGACTTTTAACACCTTACATACATTACCTGACATTTAGCATAAATTACCTCAATTATTTAACGATCGTGGACCTTATCTCAATCGGGATAAGGCCCTTTATTTTTTTAACACCCGATAGGTCGGTAATTAACAGTTTATCGATCGAATAACTCCATGTGTCTGATGATATCTTGCCCTTCTTCTCACAGTTAAAACTTAAAGAACTATTACGTACTCTGTCATGTAATTTGACACCTCACTCAGTTAGGCTAGTGATACACTGAGCTTAACTAAACGGACAGGACCGAGGACTAAAAAATTCCGCAAGAAGCTTAAATAAGGAACTACTTTTGAAATACCGTTTGTTTCGCATTAAGCAAAGACATACCAAAATTAACAAACAAGCTTGGATGGGTTTCTAATCGATTCTTACTTCAGGGTTCTTCTTCTTACGCACAGGGCGGGTTCTGGAGGCTCGTGTGAGGTCGAGTCTTTATATTTAGAATTTTTTTCTTATACGTTTCTTGTAAGAATTAGTTTAAAGAAAGAGTCCAGAACCATTTTATCTTTACAAACTCTATCGTTTTAAAACATTCGTAGATTAAAATAAACTGTCCCCGGTGCACCTATACCCTTGCAGCTACAAACAAACCGCTGTCGAAGTGGATAATAATCGAGTCACAGCGAAACGCGTAAATATCGAGATGGTGTCGATAAGAGCGAGTTGCAGCCGAGTCTCGATCGAGATAATACGATTTATCGACCGCCCAGGACCACTCGCTACCTCACCGTTGAGACACACGGTTACTAACACTTCTACTCTTAAGTTTTGAAAAATGAATATACTACTGGTGAACAGGTAATACGACATCTTTATTCTCGGCACTACAGCTCATTCAGGAGCCTAAATTTGCTCCGAAAGACAAATATTGGGTTATTGTCTAAAGAAATTTTGAAACTTAGTTAGTAGTATTTCATGAAAATGATTGCTTAATTCTTTTCTTCCTGAAAATCTTATAAGACGAAACTACCATTTTTTCAGTTCAAAACTCCGAAATCAGAATGCGTTCCCCTCAAATGTTTCTCAAACCTAACTGAATATAAAAAAATAGTAACTATTGAGGTACTGTTTTTTTATATTCATTTATAAATATAAATTATTATCGTAAATGTTCTATGTAAATGCATTTGTTTTTAAAATAATTAAAAATAGAAATATTTGACTTTTCTGAAGTCTATTGATATGACCTCAAATTGAATGTGTATTTATTTTTGGGGATATTAGATTTTAAGTTAAAATTCGTTAGGTATTAGTAGATGGCAATGTTAAAGTCAATG